GCGACTCTTGCTAAACCGAAACATTTGCGAAAACAAACGCAAAACCTCAAGTCAGTTCTCCCACCGTATCACAACCTTCATATGTAAACACAACTGGCTGAGATAACAAATTTTACTTGGATTATTGATCTCAGCCTCTACACTTCTACTAACTTGAATAAGAAATAAACTGAGCCAAGAAGTAAATAATTGGTTGGCCATTATTCAACCCACAATCTAAGATGTGTTGTCTGGATGAAACATCTTAGATGCACAACACATATACCTCCTCTTCCAAATCAGGAGTATGTTCCAAACATATGTGATAATCACAGATTTGTCTGGTACCCAGAGCATCTGTTATGCAACAGGAATCCGCACACCTACTGATACAGTGTCCCAACATATTATATGACATTAGTTCCTTTCATATGGAACTCAAAATAAAGCTTGGTTCTAAATCCCAACAATGCTTCAATACAAACAAATAACCCTTGATTATCATCAAGATCTAAAAAATTATTCCAAGCTTCAACAAGACCAAAACAACGAAAAGACAAAGTTACTTTCCTAATTAGGTCAAGTATTAGGAAGACTCTCCAAGAACCAAAATCAAATGACTCTAGTCTTTCTACAACAAACTCATCAAAAGTGCCTTTATGAGTGTACTTGAGAGATACACCTCGATTATAGTTGGAAACTTCTCAGGGTTAGTTGAGGTTGTCTTGCACATCACACACCAGACCTGCCGAGGAGACAAAACTCTAATGCCATTTCCTTCGGTTGCGACACAAGAAATAACCAGGGTTACAACAGATACCATGCAACAAAATACACATCAACAACAACTCTTGGTGTAACAAGTTAACCTTTGCACAAACACACCATACTCGCGGTGTAACAAGTTAACCTAGGTTTGGAAATAATCAAACCCTCAACACATTAGCTTGCCACCAAAGCTACACGTCTGAACACAACACAAACAGGTCCAATACATATCCTGCCATGAATAGTCCATCCTCCACTTCAAGGAACCATTCACACAACACTATGAACTATCCAAGTTCAAACAACTTTTCAGTAGAAACCTTCTACCTTACACATAAACCAGAAAGTATCCCTCATGGATCTCATCCAGAAACAGATAGGATGTCTGCTCTTATACCAATTGAAATTCTGGCTATCAGATCCCAAATATCCTAAGAGACATCGAGACACCAGATCCGACTTCACAAACAACAATAAGATGTATAAATAAAATATAACAGAGCTGAAAGTAAATAACACATGATATGTTTATCCAGTTTGGAGTAACTCTCCTACTCTGGGGGCATACCAAGCCAGAGACAAATCCACTATGATAGTATCAATTCATAGACCCTACAATAAACCTCCAATTTACACCCTAATTACTTATTCACTACCCTTGCTAGATTTCTATCTAAGACTCACCTAGATATGAGGTCCTCCTCAATCTCTCTTCAATCACAGACAGTGATTGGATCAACACAAACATGAAGATACACTTCTATGATAATTAACCAGAAGACTCACTTCCATGACAATTTCTAGCCAAGACTCTTGAGTTACTTACAAGCTTCCTCCAAGAACAATACTCAATCCATTACCTACATGTTTCTAAGTGAGAAAATAGTGACCATCTCACAGCCCGAGTGGTTCACTTACACCAACTCTCCTAGAGAGTGGCTACAGACTCATCCCTAATGATTACATCTTTGCAATTCTCGGCTGATACCAATCCTAGGTTACAAAACTTCTATTTATAACCTATTTTCAACTGGATTTGGATCTTCAAATTACAACTCTTTGGCTGTTACAAAACAACATAAGATTTTACTACAAAATAGGTCTTCAATCAAATCTTCCTAAATTATCTTCATATTTAGAAAATCAATATTCGTATCGATTCTTCTTGACCTACAAATCAGCGCCACATATGATAATATAATATCCTCAAAGTATATTTTGTCTTTGTGACTTAATAGAATATAATAGTCCAGTTCAAGTCAGGCGCATTATCGTATGTTTTTTCATAGGACATCTTATCCAACATGTTATTCCAGATGTTGAAACACTTCAACTCAACATGCCCTAACATAATGTAGGACTTCTTGCTCAACCTGTTCCTGTTAGCAAGTTAACACATTCTATCTAACATATTGCTGCTATATTAGTTTTACCAAACATAATGTCAACCATAAAAACAGAAAATTAACAAATTTAATAATATTTAAGAAGTTTTACATAACTGTATGTTGTGAATTATGTTTATGTGTATGAGTTATGAACTATTGGCATACTTATGTATTGATGAATATAATTATATGTTGTTGATGTTAAGATGTGTAATTCGGAATAAGAACTATTGTGATTGTGTTATGTATTGTTGTAAATGGTTATGAGTTTAACCATTGGTGTTCTTGCATTATTGATATGTCATGCATCATATGTATCTGTGTTGAGAAGTGACAAGTCACCGGTTCATAAGTGGGAACCAGTGATGAGTTTGAAATTTAGAAAAAGGGGGCCTAATTTGAAGAGAATCTATTGGTGAGTGGACGAGATCAGTAACAAACCTCTAATGTCAGAATTAGTATCACATGAATTGAATCGAGTTAAGAGTCACATTGTATACATAAAGGCATTGTGAATTGGTTGTTGTTGTGACATAATTGTGTATTTGATGATTATACTATTTGATGCTACCCTTGCATTCTTATACACTGTTGATATATTTAGAGCGTATTTTCACCATTTTGTTTGTTTGTTTGTGTTTCTATGTACGATGTGGTACATATACTCATGAGGAGTAATAGTTGATGTGAGTTGGAAGTTGGTCATGAAGCATACTTCGTTATTTATTTGCTTTTTGTTATTTAGTTGTAGTTTTTTTTTATCTGTAACATCTCGAAATGAGTCGTATTTATGTCGTTTGAGTTGATGTTTTGTTAGATTATGTTATTAATCAAATGTTTAATTTTTAAAAAGATAAATTGAAGTATGGTATTTTAATTGTTAAGTTCCGATGCAATATATTTAATTTGATAAAGAATGTTTTATGTTGAGAATGTGTGACACTCTTTGATAAAAAATATTTTAATTTATTTTATAATTTGTGCGTCGAGGTTAGGATGTTACATTAAGATGCAAATCCTTCGACAACTTTGTTTATGTATTAATTTATAGAAACAATTG